CTCACATGCTGGACTCGAACTTAGGACCGTCGGTTTTGCACGAACGCCTTACCTCTATATCAGTGAACCGGTATCCAAATTTATTAATGTGTACCTTTAATCAATGATATTTCACAACCATTTTACATCATCTTCGGTGGGTAACGGCTATCCAGTGCTTTTAGATTTTCAATGATGGTCTAACATTAACCGGTTCATGATCTCAATTAAAACACAAAATGCTTAAACTATTGTTGAAGTTATATTTCTTGGACCCAAATTCAACAGCTTAATGTGTTACGACAAGTATACCTACTGTCAAGTAACTATACTAGGATCTGTTGAATAAACGTTTTCAAATGAATCTTTTAGTAGGATTAAGTGTTTCCATTATTTTGGTATTATTCTAACAGTAGTATTATTATCTTAGCGATGATAACCAGATAAAGCTTGATTTAATAGAATACTAAAAAATACGTCATAACATTGTTATAAGAATGTAAATAAATAAATCAGTCTTACAATCAGTCAATAAAAATCATGATAGCATGCGTTAAACAACAAGGTATGAATATGAGTAAATTGAAGATTGATTTTATTATTGACTAAAACAGCCATCTTACTATTTATAAGGAGTGTAATAAACTTTTTGGTGGAGTTTTGTTCTTTGAGCTGGATGGTTTGGTCGTGGAGCTTTCATCGTTCTTCTGAACGACATCATCAGCACAAACTCCAAATAGAAGTGAAGTGCTGATGATATCGTTCAGAAGAACGATGAAAGCTCCACGATCAAACCATCCAGCTCAGAGAACAAAACTCCACCAAAATCATCCACCTGAGCTACAAATCTTCTCCACCATCTCAAAATCATATGAGTGTAATAAACATTACAGAAACTCTTATTTTAGACTCTAATGATAATACTTCAAGAGACTCATTTGAATAATCCAGAAGACTCTATCCAGGGAGTGGTTAATTAAGCTTTAGTGAACTAATACTATAAACAAATACTGTATAACAATTCCCTAAATAATTATTTAGTGCTTGAGTAATTCTGATATGGCTAGTGAAATCTTCTGCTACTCATAATAGAGATGATCTCAAAGAGTATGTTTGGTAGAATTCTGGTTTATTATACCAGCCACCGCCATCTTGGTTTTCATTTATACTGACTAAATAGTTACATAAAATAACCTATCCATCATCTTGACCTGTCCAGAATGTCTACTCAATAAATTTATTTATATGTTGTTCTCAGAGGTCAGCAATATGCAGGACGGTTACTAGTTTCCTTTTTTAAGAAAGAGAAATAATATAAAGGTCGGGAGAATATGTAGAATATATTCCTTACCTATGCTGTGCTTATAATGCCACATCATCACAACGACTAATAACTCCTGCTTTTATGTGTGTTTGATTTAGTAAGTTGATTGGGATATTGTAATAAATAGGATTACTTTGTTAGTGAACATCGATGGACATTGGACTGATTGACACCTAGTAATTAATATAACATAAATTCAGGACAACATATTTCAACTTAGTTTAGTTTGAAAGAGAGTCTCTATCAGCTGGAAGTACATACCCAGGTAAGTGTAAATTTTATTTGGAAATGTATTTGAAAGTTTCATACAACCAAATTCCCTGATAAAATTAAATAAAGCAAGGATAACGAGGTATACATAATAAAATGGTTTAATTTTATTTCATAGCTTTTCACTAGGTGCAAACAGGCTAAAATTATGAGCAGTAATATAGTTGTAAACACAGGTTTAACTTGCCAGAAGTGTCTTATAGTAATTGACTGTGAAAAACGGGCTAAAAATTGATGTAGGTTGTTTGTTGCTTTTCTGAAGCTCCAATGATTTTAATACAGAATATCAAAATTTTGCTAAATCATTCGAAGGTCGATCAATAGCCTTATGATGTCACATACAATTACACTTATAAGTTTATATGTAGTAGGTTTATAGAGAAAAGAAAGAGAGGAGTTACCATTAGGTTTTCTTAACACGTTTCTAAAAGCCTATGTTTGAAAGGCAGTAAAGTCTTCACAATTCTAGTCGTTGAATACCTGACGGTTAGCGAACATAAATTGAATATCAATCATGGATTCAATTTAGTGAACAAACTATCAATACGCCTTTCACTTCGTTTTGTAGAGGTAATAACTAACAAGTGCTTCCAACCTAACTTTTATGAACAGAAAGAAAGCATGATAACCCTTTCTTTATCATGCTGATCATGATTGTAATCAAATAACCCCTTTACAAACGTTTATTTCTAACTTTTAATTCATTTTATGTTATTGATGCTTATCTATTGTTTCAATTTCTACACAAGTTTATATTATTTAATTACGCAATCATTTGTTACTTTTATCATCGTTACATAATTCTTTTTTCTTAGATTTCGTTATCAGCAACTATAACATTATTCCCTCTATTTTATATTTATATTTTTCCAACATATAAATACGTATCTATGTTAACTATATTTATTGATGTATCTTATGTCATATTCTTTGTATTGTGATTTTTTAGTTCCGTTTTAAACATTCATCTATAATTCATTAAATGAAGTATGTTAAACATTTGTTTATAATTAAACTTTTCTTTTTAATTTCGTATTGTTTACAGGTGATGAAAAGCCACGACACATTGATGATATTATCAGAATGGGTTTTGTGGAGATTTTAGAAATTTCACAGATTGAAATCATGAGTCAGTTGAAGCTAGACCACCATTGAAAACCTGGAAGCACTGGACGGCCGTTTCGTCCTAGCTTCAACTGACTCATGATTTCAATCTGTGAAATTTCTAAAACTCTCCACAAAACCCATTCTGATAATAATAATCACCTGCTCACTAGTGACTGACTTCAGGAGACACTTCTGGAGTTCTAGTGAGAAGTCGTTACCAGTGGAGTTCAACCAGGTCTGTTGTGAGATAGGAACTCACTAAAGACAATGGTGTACGGTAGCGCAACTTCGTGGATTGGTTGAAGTTAGACATTAACACCGTTGGATGCCGGCCTATGGTCTAATGGTTGGGTGCTCGCGCGCGAAGCCAGTAAGTCCTGGGTTCGAGCCCCGGGTTGTGTGGGGTCGTGGATGCACATTGATGATGGTCGTCTGTATGACAGACAACAGAGCATTTAATTCCAGAGTATATGCTTTTGTTGATACGGCAAAACTACAATCAGCTCATTTATCACCTGATACTCTTACCAATATTTTATTCAGTATTTATTCGTTCGCATCTTTTTCAATCTCTTCAAGTTACTTTATGAAGTCAGTTTAAATTCAGTAAAATCAATGTAAGATGATTTGAATTGGACGGTAAGAAATATTTTGTTTTTGATCTAGGCTTTGTGATACTTGGCACTTATCAGAAGTGTATACCTCAAATTATGGTGGAGTTTTGTTCTCTGAGCGGGATGGTTTGGTCGTGGAGCTTTCATCGTTCTTCTGAACGACATCATCAGCACAAACTTCAGATAGAAAATTAATAAAGGTCAAACGAATTAAAGTACAATTAAAATACTTAAGGGAAGAGAAAGAATAAGAAATTGTAGCGTTATCCTAGGCCATAGAATGAATTAAGGATTACCAAGGTAAATTCAAGGTTACAACAAATTGTTTTTGTTCAGATAGAAGTCTATATGAAGTTTGTGCTGATGATGTCGTTCAGAAGAAAGATGAAAGCTCCACGACCAAACCATCCAGCTCAGAGAGCAAAACTCCACCAAAATCATCCACCTGAGCTACAAATCTTCTCCACTATCTCAAAAAGCATACCTCAAATCTTGAAGGAAACGGTGCTTTCTGTAGGATCCGAATGAAAGTCACCCTGCTTCATCATCTGAGATGTTACAACTGAGCTCTTTGTGTTGCAATTGATCTGTTAAAGAACTGAGGTAATCATAGTTGACAGATCATTGGATAATGACTAAACTCATATTTATCTAGTCCTTAATAATGCCTACCTGCAACCCATATAAGCTTAAACACATTTTTACAAATCAATGTGAACTAATTCAAACGATATAATATAGAATAATATATAAACTTGATTTAAATGATTAATAATGCTAATAACAACTTATTTACAATCCCATTCACTCTTATTTTTCTCCTTGTATATCTTCTGGTAGAATGAGACATAATTACATTAAAATCCATGCACGCAAGCAAAAGTAAAAAAGTTCTATAATACCTTATCTAGCAAATATACTCTGTGACGAACAGGTTGTTAGAGTTAACCTAGTCAATAACCTGCATTCTTAACATGTCTCTAATTTGAAAAGTTGTACAGTTTTTCGGTGTTTTTAAACCTTTTTCTCCTTTTTTTGTATTTGTCACAGAATTTTTGTTGTTGCGTAAATAACTTGTTGAAATACTCTGTGCTGAGAATTCCATATTGTACCAAAATATAATGTTAAATAAAGCCATTAGTAATAATAATAATAATAATAATAATAATAATAATAATAATAATAATAATAATAATAGAACGAAACGGCCATCCAGTGCTTCCAGGTTCTCAACAGTAGTCTAATACCATTCGGTTTATGACCTCAATTAAAAACTTAATAATCTCCACAATTCCTATACTAATAATTACCATATGCTCACTAGTGACTAGCTTCGTGTGGAAATTCTCGGAGTTTAGTGAAATGCCATGACCAGTGTAGCTAATCCGTGTCGGGTGGAAATAGGTATCTACCTCAGTAAAATGGAAGATGGTCACGCAATTTCGTGGATTGGTTGAGATTAGACAATAACACTATTGGATGGTGGCTCATTGGTCCAGTAGGTTAAGCATTAGCACAAGAGACTGAAGACCCTTCGTTTGAATCCCACGAGGTGGGATCGTGGATTCACACTGTTGAGGAGTCCTACAATAAGACGAAATGGCCATCCAGTGCTTCCAGGTTTCCAAAGGTGGTGGTCTAACATCATTCAATTCATGATCTCAATTAAAAACGTATATATACATATATATATTAAATCTACTTACCATGCCATGAAACATAAAATTTCCCCTTTTTTGTTTTAGTATATTCACATAATTTTGAAATAAGATTATCATATGTAACACTTTTAACTGATCTTTTAAAATATAATTTAGTTATAATAAATTGTTCTACACAAATAAATGTAGGCAATGCAACATGGACTATAAGCATTATGAAATTAAATTATTATTAATAATAACATAAAAAGTAATTTCACTATAGTTTTATTGTTTAATCCATTTGTAATATTATAAAAATTTTTATTGATTGTATTGTATATTACTAACTAATGTATGTATGTGTTGAGTTACATTGAATATGTACATAGTCATGACGTGTTTTCTTTTGTTATAGAGATATATATATATATAAACAATCCAATCAGTGACTAAAAACGTATTCAATATCCATCCATTTATAATTATTTACTTTTTATTAAACGAATTCATTGGTTCATTTATTTATTCATTAAGTTTAACATTAAAATTGTAATTTAATTATTGAGTATGAATGATAATTTGATAATCGGTTTTTTGACAAGTCTATTTAAACAATTGGATTTTCTATATTAAATTTGTAATGATATTGATTTTCAAAAAACAGAAGAAATTAAAGATATATTTAGGCGGCTTTTCTTTTTAATGTTTCATACCATTGTATTGATTATGACAATCTTCACAACCCCCTGTACTGATATCAATTGGGAGTTAACAGGAATAGAAAAAATATATATATATCATGTATGTGTAATTTTACCAAGAAAAAAGAACACGGGTAGTTTGTCTTAGTTACAATGTAAGTAATACTGTATAACTATTACTAGTAAAATTGATTAAACTATTGATTATTATTTGAATTTAATTGATTTTTTCTCTCTCGATATATTGAATTATAATAAGTTGAATAGTTTAGATCAATTATTCTTTGTATATATAATTATTGTGAATGATTTTAAATGAATATAGTGTTTATTACCTGTCGGGAAACTTAGATTCTATTCAGTATTACTTAGTTTTTGATTGAGATCATGAATGGATTGATGTTAGACTACCATTAAAAACCTGGAAGTACTGGACAGCCATTTCGTCCTATTATCGGACTCCTCATCAGTACTCATCCACGATCCCACCTCGTGGGATTCAAAAGCAGGGCCTTCAGTCTCTTGTGCGAATGCTTAACCTACTGGACCAATGAGCCAGCATCCAATAGTGTTATTGTTTAATCTCAACCAATCCACGAAATTGCGTGACCATCTTCTATTGTACTGAGGTAGATACCTGTTTTTACCCGATACGGTTTAGTTCCACTGGTCACTGGTCAATAAAATACATAATAATCTTCACAGCCCTATACTTGGTTTACTGAAACAGTTGAATGAATTGTTAAATAATTTATCGTATGGTTCTTGAAATTTCAATTAATTGTTCGCCTTTGGAAAAAGTTGTGCTGATCTCTTCTGATTATCGGATACCTGGTGATTTTATAGTCGGGGTTGATATCAATTCAGGTATTGTATATCTCTATTTTCTATATTTATCTTTATATTGTTGGTACTGCTTGATTATTGTGTTTTTGATTATTTTGCTTAGTGATTTTGTAAATTCAATTTTAATTTATACATGAGAGTTTAGAAGACTTCTAGAAGTCTTGAAATTTTGGAAGTTACGTCTACGATTCTTCTGAAATGTTTTTAAGCCAGAGGTAGAACACTCTTTGTTTGAAGGAGCTATGGTCACACTCATTTGCAAAGGTGTTAACGAGGTGCTCGCTTTCGCCCAATGATCAGATTACCTGTCCATTGCAGTTGTGAAAGTTATCTAAAGACCTGTTAGTGAGTCTCACGTTACTTTTTTACGAGTTTAAATTTGTGTACCGATCATCTTATTGTTTATTAATGACTTTTATGACCTACTATTGCCAGAAGACCTCAAGATTCGGCGGAAAATACTTGCTACCTGTGTCTTGAATTTTCAAGTAAACTTAATTTGGCATATAAACTTGGACCAAAAGTAATCTTCATTTCTAGTTAAAGAATCCTAATTATTAATATTGCTGTTATATCCAGCACGTATTTCCTGTGTGATTGAAATACTACACCTTCTACTGTCGCTAGGGATTTGGACATCACTCTATAGGATACTCTAGTTTTGGAGTTAGTTAAACATACATAGTTTTGATATTTCTTTCCAATTTATTAGGTAGTAGGACGTTGCAGTCATTCAGAACCGTATTAAGCGCCAAATTAGGGCTCACCTTAACGAAACTCTTGTTCTATTAACTATGGAAGGATACCATTCTCCTGGAATGAATTTAAATAAATGCATAAAAATTGTACATAGACCAGAAGATTAAAGCAATTTCACTCTCTTCAGTCCAGTGAACGAACGACCTACACAATGCTGAAGGATTGTCAAGGATATAATTATGATACTTATGCTCGGTAAAGTTTCAACTTCAAAATCTTAAATATCTGTGTGGGCATTGAAAAAAATATTCGAATTAATAATTTGCTAGCAGTTTGTTATATCTTTATAACGAAGTTTGAATTTATTCCTTATCGTAATTATTATTTAACTACTCAGATGTTTTCAATAACATATATCCTTGGCCTATTGCTCGAGGTTTAATAGTTTTGGCATCTCAGAGGTGACTTTCTAATGACTTATAGAACCCCAAACACTCCTGAGCACCCACTCAAATACCTAAGGTCACCCTGTGACGCCCAGAAATTAGCGACACAACATAGTATAATGTACTATGGGAGCACCTTCTACTCTTTACGAGTAACTCATTTCCTGAACTCTCTGCTGTGTGAAGTGGTTCGAGCGACTACTCAGGAGTCCTTTAAGAGGAAACTCGACATATTCTTATGGGACAGTATTTCGCCATGAATCACTCATATTTCCTTTTTTTTCGTTAAATAACCTAAGGTTCCTACATGGAAGCATCGGTGATCCACTGCTACTAAAACCATTTGAACTATTTACTCCGAAGCTTCAAAGTATCTACTTTAGAATGACTGCATCCTAGGCAATGTTTTTTAGTTCTTTCACTGCCTAATGTATCGTGGTTAGTTTTAGTAATTTGTTCAACTCTACCTTTTTGTTTCTTCATGTTTACTCAAAGATTTTTGGTCACAAATCTCGAGCTAGTTTGGCTCTTCTTGCTAAGAAATGTATTGAAATTCCATGAAAAATGTTTAAGTTATAAAATAAAAGTTCGCCATATCCTGCTAAACATGATTGTAGGGTCCGGTTCGTAGACTATTCGATAAGACTACAATTTATTGACGACCTCTGAACAACGAAAAAGTGGCCTTGAAAAAACTTATCTACTTACTAGGGTTGAAAGAGGGTTTTAAAATTATACGAGGAATTAGGATTAAGATTGAAAGGTAGAAGTTAGGGTTTTCATCACATATTGAGATCAGCTATCATATGAAAATGCCAAAAGATGAATATTAACTTGCATAATCGTCATTACAAAACGATAATATTAACAGAATTATCTAGCTTATTATTGCTGAGTTTAAAAATATTCCATTTCTGTCAAAGTATGGTATATGCATAAAACTCTTTTAACCATGGATTATTGTACTCAGTGTTCTTGCATGAAGTTAAGTGGGACTTTATTTTGTATGTGCTGGTGTTGAACAAGAATAGACAAAATAGGATACTAACTTAACCTTCAAGCATGTTAAGAAACTGGTTTAGCTGGTACGTTTTGCTGTATTTGTCATTGTTCACTTAAACCTGAGTCTTATATGAAAGCAGTTGACAGAGAATGATCACCACTAATTAACCTTCGACTAACACTTTATTGATTACATTTTTCCATACATATGCTATTTTATATGAACTTCTGTTGAAATTTGATTCAATAGTTTCACAGTATTCAGATGCCGAGTTTATATGAGACACCAATCAAGAAGAATATATGTGTAAAATCTCAGCGATTGAATTTGAAGTAAATCCTTATTTATATTCCGTAATTTTGATGTTTGATTATAATTTCTTCAAAACTCCTGGATCAGATTGCCAGGCGAAACGTTAGATTCACTTCAAATTCATCCTCTGAGATTTTACAAATACATTCTTCCCTATTAATATGGTATTTTAGTTTCAAGTTTTCTATTTCTCATTGTATTCTCTCATTCGTACGTGCCGTAAAAGATACTAAATCATAACTACTGAGTTAGGTGAAAAAACCCTGTCAGCCAAAATCAGAGTTACAATCTTCAATACGAACGGCCAGACAGTTCTACTGTACGGAGTTGAAACTTGAAGAACTACCACAACCATCACCAAGAAAGTACAAGTATTTATAAACAGTTGTCTATAGTAAATACTCAATGCCCGTTGAATGGATACCATTAGAAACAGCCTACTATGACAGTGAACAAACCAGCTTCCATCTTAACAGGAAATTAGGAAAATATTATGGAAGTGGATAAAAAATACATCAAGAAAATCATTAGACTGAATTACGGGGCAATCTCTAACTTGAAATCCTGAAAGGAAAAGAGGAGAACCAAAGAACACAATCCGTCAAGAATCGGAGGCAGACATTAATATAGTGAATAGCGAGTGGAAAGAACTGGAAAGGTGAGTTCAGGATGAAGTCCTATGGAGAATGCTGGCGGGCGGTCTATGCTTCTCCACTAAGGATAACAGGTGCAAGTAACCAGATGGAAAAAATATAATTTCTGTTTATTATTTCAGTCTAATTAGGCATAACCTTAATTCATTTATTAGCGACATATTTAATTGCCCTTCCTTTCACAGGGGCTATAGTTCGTTTTTATTTAAAGAAATTGCTCCGTTCTTTTTAAATCCGAACTTATCTTACACGTCTCCTGCTCCATAATCAATCGACACTTTAGCAGATGTCATTCTGAGGCTCATGATTTTTGCAATTCGTCACATTTCGGATATTCACTGGGACTTATGAAAAAGAAAATCAGGGAACCATAATCTTGAAAATCAGTATTTTATTGAGATATAGATTGTACCATTCCTTCCAATGGACATTGTTGTGCTGAGAAATTGCTAAACAAGAAGACTGTGGTGATATATGTGTGTTAACTAATGAAAACCGGTTCCATCAGTTTTAACTCCTGCAAATCCCCACTGAAATGTTTGTTTGGGTGGTACATTGCTGCTTTGACTGACATGATAAAATGACTCTTGTTTACACTAGTTATCTCACTAAGCAATATATACCTAAAGCTGTCAAGAGCTACAATTCCAGTAACTTGTGAAACGTTAGTTTAATTTCCAAATTTGTATACCGTAATACAGACTTGAGTGCTGTCGAAGTTGCTTTTAAGTATTTCAAAGAAAT